TATTAGCTTTATAGCATATCAAAAATGCTACCAGTTATATAATGTCATCACTATCGGTGAGTTTGTCACTAAAGAAAAGCTAAGATTCACGTAACGAAGGTAAGTGTTTTTATTATATGTGAGGTGGATTCGATTATGACTGAAAAACAATTTTTATTAATTTTTCTTTCACCAATTCTTTCATTGTTCTATTTCTTTTTTTTTCGATATATGATTCATTTATACATTTCATCCAGTAATTACATAAATATTTTAATGAAAAAAATAAAATAAACAAATAGAGAAAAGTAAAATAAAAATAAAATAACGAAATTGTGGTGAAGCTATTATATAACACATCATTGTTATTATCATCATATTATATAATTGATTAATTTTTCCAAGCAAAGATATGGCACGTGACTTCACCCTGTCTTTCTCTGCTTATGTTATACTTCTTATCAAAGCCTCCCATATCTTTATATGTGTCAACTATTGTTTCGTCATGGCTTGTTTAATTATAGCACATGACATGTTTTGGTATCAAATGTTGATGACATACGTGTCACCACTTTCTCAGATTACAATAAATAAGATAAAGTGATTCATTTTCAACAAACAATTGGTTATCTATTATGAAATATGTTTATGTTAAATTTCCAAACTTCATAACTCGAAGAAAATATTGCAATACTTTATTATCTATACAATCAAATTCATTAAATAGAAGCATAATCAATTGGTTAGAATTAATTTTTTCTTATATTACTATTTGGCACCAATTAGTACAAATGTATCAAAATTCAAATTTCGAATCTAGTCTTTGGCATTAAATAAATTGATCAAATTTTAATAAATATCTGTATAATATTATGATGGCATATTTGGAAAACCTTTGAAGATAAAAATCCAGAATTATTTTTTAACAAAAAAAAGACAAATTCATGCTTAGGATTAATACTAAATATTGATTGGTTTCAACCATATGATAACAAAATACATAGTACTGATGTTATATATGTGGCAATCACTAATTTATTACATGAAATATAATTTACTGTAAGTATAAAAATATACTGATTCTTGATATATTATCAGGCCCTAGTAAATCAAGTTTGTATCAAATAAATCATTACCTTTTATCAATTATAGATAAATTGTTGCAACTATAATAAGAAGTAATATTAAATTCTACTACTGAAAATAAGAATGAAAAAATAATTCAAGCTGTTTTAATTTTAATTTCATATAATATTCTTGTAGTACAAAAAGTATGTAAATATATTTCAGTACTAATATCATGCCATTGTTATAAGAAAAAAACAAATTATATCAACAATCAATATAACTATAATAGTATAAATAATATAAACAAATAATTATATTAAGGAATTTGACAACTTATAAATGAAATTCTATTAAATAAAAAAGTTGTAGTTCTAATACTACATGAAAATAATTTGTTAGCAAAATCATATCAGGTGGTTAGAATTTTTTTGTCTACCATATTTTAATTCTATTCAATATTTAGTTATCAATTCTATACATTGTCTTTTTTTGGATATTAGCAAATAACTTGTTAAATAAATATGGATTGAAGAGGATATATTAATAAACAATATATTGAATAAAATACAATTGATAATGGAAGAGTTTCAAGTACTATTAGACATTGAACGAATTTCAAGAAAAATAAATATTGACAAAAATTTTTTGAATTTTATTGCCAATTAGTGGTAAAATTTTTTTATAATATATATAACCATTGTTCTATGGAAATATCTTTTAGATACAGATTATCAAATTTAATTAATTTATTAAAATATGTCAAATTTTAGTATGCTAAATTATAAGATGAGACTTATTAAATAAAGTATATAAAAGATTAATCAAAGTTATTAAATTAATTAAACAAAAGTATAAAACAAAAAAAATCATATCAAATCTTCATCTTTCCTTGCATTTGCTAAATATATATATAATTATAGGCCATTATATATTTTTTAATACACAATAAATCCCGTTAAACTAATATAATCAGGACTATTAATAAAATTTTTGAGGAAATTTGATTTAGAGGGATTTATCTAGTAAATTCAATTTAATGAGATAATCTACAATATGACAGTTTTTAAGCAAACTTCGATTTAACAGGATTTTAATTAGTACTTCGGTTTAATGGGGTTCGGATTAACGGGGTTGATTATATATTTTTTATTTGATATATTTTTAGTATATATTAGTTTTATTACTTACAGTATTTATTATTAAACTTTTTATAGGTTTTTTATCAAATAATTATTGAAAAATTAAATCAGAATTAATATAAAGACTAATAAATAACCACTGAATTTTATATTTGATATCAATCTATCTAAATAAAATAGAATTTGAATTTTTAAATAATAGATCAAATATTAATTCAATTTCTAAACTGGATCAATTTTTGACTAATAAATTATATTAATTTTTAAACAATATATATAATATTTATGAAACAGTTACCAATGGATTAGAAAATTTTTAGATAAATTATTGTATTCAAAGAATTTGAATTTAATATTACCTGTTAAAATATTGAATCTATTAATCAAATATTATAAGGCTTCATATAAAACAATGAACTTTTAAAGACTATTCACAAATAATATTAATGATTCGATAGTTATTTAAAATAGAATAAATTAATATAAAAGATATCGAATAGGAAATAAAATTTTTGATTCTTTTATGGCTTCACGAAATATAAAGGGTTCATTTGTGTTAATCTAATTTGTGAATTATAATGAAAGTATTGATTTATATTTAAAACAAGTTCAATTTTTTTTCATACATTCAATTAATTTTTTGAATAATATTATATACTATAAATTGATTTTTATTTGATGGTTTAAATCAGTTAATTCAGCAAATATAAGATTTCATTTTGGCTTAAAAAATGAAACGAATATTAAATTATGAAATATCAAATTTTATTCAATTAAATATAAATATATAATTTCTATTTACAATATTTTTGATTGATTTATTCCATTTATATATAAAATATCAAATCAGTATAATTCTTATAAATATTTGGCTATAATTTCACTAAACTGCAAATATAATATTTAAAATCACTAAAATTTAACTATAATTAGGTATAAAACAATTTGTATCTAAGTTTAATTTTTTTAAAAATAATTTAAATTTTATTTTATTTTTTTTACAATTATTATATGTTAAATAATTGACAAGTATTAGCAAATTAAATAAAAATAAAATATTATTTTATAATTTAATATATATTGAATTGTTGCCAAATAATATTATGCTGAATAGTTGTATATCTGAATATTTGATGAGTAGCAGCATGTCGAATAGTATTATTTTGACTAATATTAAGTCTTATATTAAATTTTTTTTAATAAAAAAAGATATATATTGTTGTAGTAAAATCATGGTGAGTCAGTTGCTTTGATCTGACTTATGTTATATAATGTTAAAGTATAGTTTTGCTTAAAAGAGACATATGAATTTGACCAAAGTTCATAATGCTAATACAGATTGATTTGTCAATTTTATGTTTTAATTTGTTACTTCATATATAATAATTCTATTAGCTACATTATACTGGGATAAAATCACAAAGCAAAGTTTATTAATTATATGTTGTATAGTACCTATTCTAATTGTTCTACTTTTTGAATATTTTCAAATTGCTTATATATATTTTGACTTTATACCTATTATACGTATATATTATTTCTAATATACTATTTATATTAGATATATTCTTTATATTTGATATACTACTTATATTTAATATATTATTTATACTTAATATACTAATTCTTAAAATTTCCTACTATTTACCATTATATTTTTTCTATAATAATGTTATTTTAGTAAAATTGTAATTTTGTTTTATTAAGTTTAAAATTATAATAAAATTTAAAAAATATAATAACTATTTTATCTTTTTTTAAAAAAATAAATTAATTATTATATTAATTTAATTTAATTGTTTTTATCTGAAATTAAATTTATATCTTGTAATATAAATTTGAAAACATCAATTTTTATATAATAATTTTATAAGTTTTAATATAAATAATTTTAATTTTAATATTTAATAATTTTTAAATTTTTTAAAAATATACTGTATATATTAGAGATTACTAATAATATATATATATATTATATTTTAAAAATATAATAATTTTATTATAAGCCAGATAAAAAACATTTAATTTATTATATTTTCATTACAATAATACATATTTCTTTTGAAAAAAATATTTAAAAAAATAATTTAAATAACTTTTTATTAATATATTTAATCTTATTATATTAATAATATTAATAATTCTTAATTAAACTTATTTATTTAAGAATAACTAATATCTACGTATCTATTTTATTTTACAAATTATAAGATTTAATAATCTTTTTATTTAAAAAAATGATAAAGAAAAAAAAAAACCTTGTCAAATTTATTATTTATTTATTATTAATTATTTTAATTAATATAACTGTATATAAATTATTATGTAACAAAGAGAAAAAAAAAATTAACAGACCATTTTAAGATATATCTGGGCATAATTCGGACTTTTGAATGTACAATAATAAAGTTTTTTATGTATTGGAAATTATAGTTGAATGTGAAGTGGCGTTTTCATTGTGTGATCTGCACCTCATGTATCGCTAGTTTCTTAATTTTGCAGTAGACAGGTGATTAAGACAACAATTACCCTATCAGAATTTGGTTTCAATACCATTTTGTCCAACGCACTAAGGGCGTGGTCTAAATGTAATTCTTATTTGAAACATTATTATATTAAATAATTCATTGTCTACCCTGAAGTACAAAAAAGAAGCTTTAGATTCTTTTGGCCTCGGAATTCCTTACCAGCAGAAATGTCTTACTTTGCTAATAACACGCTTGCTAGCGCTTCTACGGGCTGGCGAGTTCTTCTTAACGCGGACGATAGAAAGGTTAATGTCGGTAGACTTTTTAAAGGCTTGGAATTGCTTAATCAAGCCAGCATGGATCCTAATCAGAGATTTGAACTGTCCAAACAATGGGAGAATGACGCTTTCAGTGTTGCAAATACAAGAGAAGAATATAATGCTAGAATAGGAGCAAAACTAAAAGAAATTACCAATATGATAAGAAATACTCCGCAACAGACTACCCAGCAGCAAAACGTCCAGCAACAGCATCAGGTCTCTCAGCAACCACAACTCTCTCAACAGCAACAGCAAGTCCTTCAACAGCAGCAACAGCAACAACAAAGGTTATTACAACATCGAATAGCCGCGGCGCAGTTGTTTCAACAACAACAACAACAACAACCACAGTCACCTCAGCAGCAACAACAATTATTTCAATTACTTACACAGCAACAGCAGCACCAATTATCACAACAGCAACTGAATGCGCGACAGCAACAACAAATAATTCAAATGTTACAAAGTAATCCAGCATTGCAACAAAAATTTCAACAAGAACAGATTCGCAAGTTACAATTGCAACGACAACATCAACAATCGCAATTGTCACAGGCCTCCCAACAAATTGCCGTCGCGCAAGCGGGCAGTTTCATTCGCCCTAACACACCTAATGCACAACAGATACAATCTTCCCCTAAATCTGCCCAACCAAATACATTTCGAGCAAATCCAAATGTAAACCCAAGTGTACTATCACTGTTAGGTCTTCCCCCGGATACACAGCTAACGGATGATGTGATAAAGAAAATCGCATTCCTAAATCAGAACTTAAGAGCACGTCAAGCACAGCAATCGAGTTTGCAACAACAAGATATGACGCTGAGCTCTCCCGCAATGTCGGCCGAATCTCAACTCAACAGAATCACGGTTAATCAACAGGCCGCAACAAACAACAAATTGTCTCCCAGCCAGATTATCCAATCACCAATAAATACGATGAAATCACAAGTGCCGCCGCCCCAGAATCCAGGTCCCTCCGTACTCATCATGCCATCCATGACCAACCAATCTCCGGTGAATTTACCAAATAAACTGAATCAGACGCAAACCAAAGTGCCCACGCACATCAAGGTGCCTCAGAATAAACCGCTCACAAGCCCAGCGGCCAATGTTAACCCGGCCCTCAAAGCTACCACATCAGTCGCCATCGGTACATCACCGATTCCGTCTGTGCAACCAACAAATGTTCGAGCTCAAGTTGGGCGTCCTCTCGTGGTGCCAAACAACGTTACGGCTGGGATGTTGCTCGCTAACGGTGTTGGAATTAATCCAGGAATGGGATCATCCAATAATGCAGCGATTTTAAATCAAAATGCATTGTTGCTAAATAGCACAAGACCTGGTGGATTGGTGATTCCACCAAATATTGGCTTTCGTCCGAGTATTAGTGTTCCCGTAGTACGTAACGATGTTACGGTGGGCATTGGAGCATCGTCATCGTCGACTTCAGGACAATATGCAACATTGAGTGCCAAGGAGGAGTTTGAAGCCTTGGGTATGATAAAGGAAATTGATAGGAAATCACAAGAACGAAGAATCCAGTATCATGAAATTCCCGATCTCGAGGATGACGAGAAATCCAAAATCATTGAAAAATTACGGGAATTAGAACCCATGTATAAAAATGTTGACAAGCTGCTACCATACTTTTGGCATTATACAAAATCGAGTCAGGGTACATCTCGCCTGTTGGGGATGAAATATATGATAGAAGATCAGTTAAAGGCTTTGCCAGGAAAATTTCTCCTTAGGCTGGAAACCGTCGATAATTTGATTCAACAATTCCGCAAATATTTCGATTATGTTGAAAGTCGAAGAAGAGGGATAGAACCAACAACCATGATAAACCTAAATGCCACCGTTCGCCCACAACCATCGATCATACCTCCAAACGCAGGGAACCTCTTAAAGCCACGTATCAATTCATCCGACTTGAAACTTCCCAGCCAGAGGATACATCACAATGATCCCAATAGCATGACCGCCGGCAAGAAGCGTCGTCAATCATCCACGGAACAAGAAACACAACAACTCAGTAAAAAACAAACGACAAATAATAATAATGTTCAGAGTAAGTCTACACCCGATGTAATGATTATCGACCCACCCAACACCGCTTTACCCAAAACCTCAGCATTATCTTCCGATAACCGAAAAAGTCCTGTAATTGTAATTTCAGATGATAAACCGACAATGGGACGCGAAGAACCTCAAGGGAATGCATTCCACAAATTTGATGCAACCTCGGAAGAAATTCGCAAAAGCGCGAAACGGATGATTAACGCGGTACGAAAATGCATGCCGTATCTTTCAGACGGAGTGATCGGAGGTTTACCGAGCGAAGAAAACGAACAAAATATTTTGAGATCGTTAGCAAACACAGCATAAATTCAGGTTTTGAACCGACGTCAAGGATGAAAGTCACGAGTGCAACGAACATTGTTCTCGTACACTCTTACGAGACGAGATCGTATCAGTTGTAAATAGAAATATTTTATAATTTTTTTTCACTTTTTCTTTTAGAAAAAAAAAAAAAGCAAGCGAGTCAAGTAGTACAAATTTAACATTTTTATTTCTCGTAATATACTGAATTTATTTTTATTTGAATCCAATAAAACATACAAATATTTTAATGAAACATGCCAGGAATTTATGGAGCGCAGTATTTTGTAAATTTCTGCGCCCTCATAGTTTTTCCTTTTACAGAGTAAATGTAAGTAAACATATACAGGACGCTACAGCATTGCTATCCTTTCTTCGCACGACGCATGAAGTACGTTTTTTCGCATTTAATCACATGATCGAGAATAATAGATGTTCTTATCATCTCAGTGATTGGATCGTCGTGACTGACATTCATTTGTTGCAATGATTTGAGAAATCTCAATAATACAAACATACTCGGAGAAAAAGTATTAAAAAAATTCGGATTTATATGGAATTCTCCCGAGAAATCAGATGACGCATTTTGTGAGCGCCTCGTGTTATCTTTATTAAGTTTTGTGTTCCGGCGACTCGGAGTGTTCTGATCCGGTGTACATCTTATTGCACCCTATTCACCTTTTCAGATGAAAGCGTCCGAGATTGAAAAGGTGGAAAAAAACTTTGGCTACGGTGGAGAGAAGGCGTTAGTATTTCGGCGCAAACCGACATAAAAAGCAAGTCTTCTAAGGAGGAAAGAAAAAAAAAAAAAAAGGTTACAGGGTGCAGGTGTCAAGGGGAATACATTTGGCGAGTGTGATTATTGGTTCAATGAAGATCAGAATAGGGTTTGTCTAATGAAAAAAAAGGGTTTCTGCATGTTTGAAAGTCTTTGAGGTCAACGTTGGTCGGCCATTTTTTGGGAAGAAAAAATTGCGGCCCTTTATATACTTCTTAAAGCCTTGTCCC